AATGCTTTAATTGCAAATGCTATTTTTGGCACACCAAATAAACGGCAGCGAATAAATACAATATCGGCAGGACACACTTACCAAAGTGTTACGAATTGGCTCTGCTTTGCGGCAAGGCGAAGTGAAGACTCTCCAACACAGCGACTACACCATGTGCATGATGGTTTTGCGCCAATCTTTGTTGTACACTGTTTGTGTGCTGTGTGCTGAATGCTAAGCTATTCATCGGTTTTCACATAGTTCATTTCACAATTTCATGTTTCAACTCGACATAGGCGACTAGACTGTTATCATTTGGTTAAACTATTCATATTTAGGGTGTTCTGTTTTACGAAGGAAGACTAAACCGTCTATAATTTGGCCATGCCATTCCTTTATTAGCTATGCTATGCTGCGGCTGATCCTTGGACCAGCTTTGTATTTGCTGACCCATTTGACATCCTTGTATTTTTGGTGGTGACGGCCACCCATACACTTGCTTTTTAATTTTAATAACAAATAAGTCTAGTGGAGCTAATCAGGCCACAAAATAAAATCAATGTCACCGAAGCGAATTGTTTGAAGATCTTTGAAATCGATTGAAGATCGATCGGTATTTCGAATTTTTGATTTCGGCTATATTTCCACAACTGCGTTTCGTAATGTTCAAGAAAAGAAATAGAAAATGTTGTTCCATTGATTTCGAGAATAACCCGTCAGTTACATTTACACAAAACTTTGTTTCTATTTCTCTTTTCATTAAACAACTTCTTTTGCGAATGAGAGTTTCATTCCAGCTTCCGCGAGTTATCTTATCGGTAGGGAGTCAACGCTCGACGGGAAAAGGGGCAAGCCAATCAGATTGCCTGTGTTTTACGATAGTTTAGTGAGCATTTAACTAATTTAAAAGGTATAGAGCGCCAATGATCCCTGAAGACCGCAAACATCTTGAGTCATCCGCCTACGCCTGTCGGATCGTTTTTGCGAACGTGACATTTTAGAAAACGTCCGAACACTGCTATTTTTAACTTAAACTTACTGCTTTCTGATAAGTTCTAAGGGCAATATCTTTGCCTCAGTTACTCGACTGGAACGAGGTCTCCTGTCAAACCCAGTTTCTGAAAGTATCTTGCTCGGCATACGTGCTCAAACTTCCTTGCTTCCCTCTTTCCGAGGGTTTCTGTAAGTCGTGAATATAGCATACACAATATGTGAGCAATATGAATGAAATTTCATGAAAATTTAGTCTAACTAAAATTGTTAAAGATTTGCTTTTCAAGTTGGCCTAAATCAATTCAGGCTCAACTCCGTCCAATTTTCCCTATATATATCCTGTCATAGTTTTCCTCGGCTGTTGTCTATTGAATATTACCATCTTTTAAATTCCTTATTTTAGGATTGTAAATTATCAGTTCATATTCCCTTTGACCTGCATTTGACAGGTAGTTGAGGAAATAGCGTAATTACTCGATGAAACGCAGCGGTGTTCATCAATAGTTTAGCGTTTTGATGCGGCCTCTACTCAAAATACATTTTCATTTCTTAGACCATAAAAAAATATCTCTATAAATTACTCGTTAATCATGACCATGCCGCACTACAAAAACATGGTTAAAGTTGCAGTATCCTACTCTTTATTTTATTGAAATGAAATACACTTATTTATACACTTGGGTCAGATGCAAAGTAATTTCCTCGTTACGTTTCATGAGTAATACGTACGGCACATGAGACGAAGTTCTGCTTGCTGTCACAGTGAAATACCGGAAGACGAGGGCGATTAAGAGAGACTTCCTAATTCCCCTTCTTCTCTCCACCTGGGCATCTCCACGCAATTTTTGAAACATTGTATTGTTTAGCTGGCCATACAGTTTGGCTAAAACAAGTTGCATCAGAATTAAAGAAACTTATTTGGATCATGATTATTAACAGGAATGACAGCTATCAATGGGTCCACTTACCCCCCGACCATCTATACACGGTTTATTGCAAAGTGCGACAAGAGTGGTTACAAAATGCGATAGCTTTCGGTGTGATGGTCGCAGTGTGCGACAGTTTTTTTTTCTTATAAAGTGCGACAAGTGTTTACAAAGGGAAAATGTTATTACAGAGTGCGACAGAAAATATCTTGAAGTGAGGCCAAGACTTACGGCAAGCCGGCCGCTTTCAATTAAAACAATATCGAATGATCACAAGAGGACACGAGTGATCGTAATATGTCTGGAGACTTTAGTACTGTCTTTGTTTCTGTACACGCTATAAAGATAACGGGCTCGTATTTATGATAGAAATAACTCATTACTTCGAACTCAGAACGGTCACCTGTTAGCGATCTAAAAGGGTTAAGATATATAAACACGGTAAGCTTTTTAGCCATCTTTCAAAAACCGTTAGAACAGACATTGCCACAGGGGTCGTCGCTGTGTCCGCTTTGTATGACATAGCGGAGTGATATGAATTCAGGTGTAACAGCATGATTTGTTCTTAATCTATCGCAGAAGTTGAAGTTAAGAACCTTTTGAGTCTTATCTCTCAAGGTACATGTGAGTGCCTTAGTCTTACTGCCTCCTGGGCATGAGTCGTTAAAAGCGTTCAATGACTCTGATTAACAAGTGTTACATAATTTGGTGGCGTCATTTCCTCTCAAGGACGTCACGCAGACTACTTAACTAAGTAGTGTTAATGAGTCTCCTGTATTATTTATAGTCACATCTTTTTCTTGAGTTATTAACGGAGAAAGGACCCATTTAACTTAAGCTCTTTATTGGAATTCGTAGGATTGGCCACCTTTCTGATGTGTTGAAAGTAACTGAAGACACAAGGGAACGATTTAAGGGCTATAGAAGCTGCAAATGCTCCATAATAATCCTTTGTTAGAGTTCGTAGCTACGGACGCTGCGGTGAAACCATCCTAGTGTGACCTATGACGGGAGAAATATTTCATTCCCTCTAAAGACGGAGCGAAGAATGCTTGGAAACAATTCCTCAACGATTTTGCATCGACCTGGTTCAGACAGCAATGAGACAAAATGTGCTGCTTTCACGGTTGGACTAGTTGAAGTTTATATCACAATCCATGTTGTCACTATTCTGGTGTCCTTGGTGGGAAACATTCTTCTGATTATTTCCTATGTGAGAATGAAGGAAACGTTAATGCTCCCTATCGCCAACATGGCTGTATCTGACCTGCTGACTACACTTTTTCTAATGCCTCGTCTTGTTAGACGAGAGCTCACCGGATCCAACGATTTCCTCATTCGTGGAGTTACAGGTACATTACTGTGCAAACTATGCTCCTTCCTAAGCGACATATCGCTATCTGTGTCGACCCAGAGCTTAGTACTCATAGCTGCTGAGCGATTTCTCGCGATTGCTTGTCCAATTTTATATAGGAAGGTAATGACGGTGAAAAGACGCTATCTCTTCGTAGGCTTAACATGGATAATATCCATGGGAATTCATTCGCCATACTTTTACGGTTTCCGTCTGTCTACTAATAATATTTGTGAAATGAACTGGGAACCAGCTTTCGATCATAAGTCGACGCAGCCACGCTACGTGCTTTTTCTTTTCGTAACAGTTTTGCTTCTACCGTTAATTACTATCTCTGTGCTTTACTGCATTTTCGGCGTCAAGATTCGGCGAGATAAAGTAGCTTCGTCTCGAACCGAGAGAGGGGCCTTGAGACACCAGGAACGCAGCAGAAAGTTACAAAGAATGGGAATAGCTACTGTAACGGCGTTCTTAATCTGTTGGCTCCTTTATATAGTGATAAATGTTTTCAAACTGCTTTCTTCAAATACTGATCATGAGTGTAGCCAAGGTTTTAAGATAGTAGACAATATATCTCGCGTTTTAGCAAGCTGTTACTCTGCTGTAAATCCCTGTATTTGCTTTATATTTGTGAAAAGCTTTTCTCGTCAACTTTTCGCGTTATGCAGATGAGAAGGTTCACTGAAAGGGATCATAGAGATAGATGTTTGCAGGAAATAATACCTATTGTGTTCAATTTTGATCAGCACGCTGGGGAGCCATCACTCCGAAGTCATAGCCGTTTTGGCAAGGACGTTGAATTGGTTTTTAGCCACAAGTGAGCTCCATAACCATTAGCCAAGCAGTCTACTGACTGAGTTTCAACAACATTTTATTTTTAACGATGACTACGGTCTGAAGCCTTATGGAGTGGTATAAGCATTTGTATGTAAAGGAACTTTATTCAGTTAAACACTTACAGATCAAAATAGTGCCAATATCAGTGATGTAAATTTCGTAATCATATCTTGAATTTATGCCAACATGGATCGCATATCCCTTGATTTAATATATCGCTCACCGGTGTAGGAAAGTGATGATTGATGGCAATGTTTTGGTAGTTGGTTAGTGTTTTTAGAACGTCGAAATAGTAGTCAGTCTTAAGCACATTAGTACAGAATAAAACAATTCAAAAAGCCGACAGGTGTACGTGCTTAAGCGTGGCGAACGGATGTAGCTTAATTACAATCTTTTCCTGTGACGCACGAATAAGCATCTTTCTGCGAACAAAGGCCACTTTATCTAATTAACCTTATTTCTGGGATAATGTCGTCACATTTAGATAATATAGCACTGAAAAAATATAACCAAATACATTACACTAGTCAAGGCGCCTAATTGAAAGTTTATTTTTCCTTCCTTTCTCAAAGAATATTTACCATAGCTGTGCTGCTATGCTATCAGTGAATATGTGAAATTTCTTCCTTTAGCGTGACGTCCTCCTCAACGCTGTTTGATTTTTTTTGCCTTCAAGCTATCTCAAATATTGCATTACGTGTCGATTTCATTAAATAGTTGACTTAATTGAATAGTTTGGTGCTGATTCACCTGAAAAACGCCGCGTACCTCTTCTATCTTTACAGAAAATGAAACTGTGCGTTCATCTACGCAACCGAGTTAATCTCATTTACTGACAACTATTTAGATGCAGAAGACAGTACCTTGAGCTTCCTTACCGTCAAGGAATGACCTTTTAAAGTTCAGTCAGCGTCTTAACCACGTATCTTTCCACACACGAAATTTACAATATGGGAAATATGTGGTTTTTGTCTTAAAGGCCTTGCGGCTGAACCTAGTCAAACTTTCTACATTCGAACCTGTATTTAGCAGTCACGAATGAATGGTCATTCAGGTCAGGAATGGCGACCGCTAAATACAGGTTAGATAGAATAGGGGTTTGATTAAAAAAAAAAAGGAAAAAAGCCGTTTAGGATCAATATCAGTGGATCATCGATCAGTTCATGAACAAATACTCGCACCAAAATACTACTAGCATTAATGTTTCGGGAAAAAAAGACGAATTTAATTTTACTTGAAACTTGTTCTTAGTTTCATTTGATTAGTGAACTGAACGTTCAGTACAGGTAGAAGAAAATATAAAGAGGCCGTTGGTACTCACTCATAGGTGACTAAGACCGCTTGATAAAGGTTACCGCTGAATAGAAGTAAAAATTACAGTTGTTAAGTGGAAACAAATTCGGCACTGACAAGCGACCGCTTAATACTGCAGGGTGACCGCTTTATACAGGTTTGATTTTGTAAAACATCTCCGTCCCCTATCCTCCCTTTACGTCCGGGCCGAGCCGCCTCGCCTGCCAGGTCTACCATTTGTATTTACTAAAGAACGCGTGCAAAATGTTCATTTACCAGGAGGATTATTTAACCATTTAACTTATATTAGTGACCAAGACAGAATTTCCCCTTACAATAGCAATACAATATCTACAAGATAAGTGATGAGAATAAAGAAAAATATCCGTTTAGGGATAATTGGTTGATCCAATACTAACTTCTCTGGACTATCATCATAAGAATTGTACGGTTGACAACAAGGAGAATTACAAATTTGATCTGAGAGTTAAAGGTTAATTTGTCACCATAAAATTGCTCAGAGGGTCGATTTGCATATGTTGAAACTGAAAACGCTTCCTGACTGCCAGATCGAACCATAGTAAACTATGGCTCACGAAAAACTGCTCTGATCGGAATGGAAAAGTCATTCTAAGAGTCTAAAATTATTTTGAGATGATAGCATTTGCTTTGTCGATGGTGAAGTAATGGGATAGGTCTCTTTTTAGATAACACTTGCGAGCTCCACATACTACATGTTAAAAAAGGGCCTTGCGGCGAACGCTAAAGGATCGTTCTCTCGGTAGAAAAGAGCATTTATGCTCCCTTTATTTACGTCTTGAAACAACATTCATTTTGTTTTTAAAGTATGGGTGAAATTTCTTTGGCATTGCTGTTATTATAGCCGAATATCTTAATTTTGAGCGTGTTGACATCTGCACCAACGATGTTGAAGCTCTATATAGTTTGAATTATCTGAACCGAAAAGTAGAAAGATCCTTTTTGGGGCTGTTTACCGACGGCCGCCAAATCTAGATGCCACAGCAAAGTCTGGAAGAAATGTTAAATCGGCGAACAAACGAAAAATCGAAACAGTCCTTCTCGGGGATTTTAATCTTGACTATATCTCACCGAATGCAGCAACAAAACATTTCCAGCGTATTCGAACCTCTTCAATTTGAAGCAGCTGATTATCGAACCCACCACGATTACTCATCACTCCAGAACTTTTATCGATTTAAATCTTTACTTCAAAGGCTGATATTTATGTACCTGGAGTATGTTTCTCCGATCACTTGGCTATTTATGGAACTAGGAAACTTCACAGAATCCCTCTCCGACCACCAAGAATGGTCGAGATCAGGAATTATAAACATGATGCCGCTTTGTTTTGTGAGGCTTTAAATAACATCCTCGTGGACCTTGAAAAAAATCCTAATGAGGAGTGGCTTTCTTTCAAGGATCTATTCCTGACAGCAGCGGACAAACACGCACCAATGATTAAGCGCCGTGTTCGCGGAAGATCAGCCTGCAGAGCAAGCGTAATTTTGGCGAGCGTATTCTCTTAACGAAAATTATGGCCGCCACCTTTGATTTTAATGGCAGCGGAAGGCTGGGAGGAGAAAGAAATTTCTACCAAGGGGGCGGTCGACGGTCAATTAAAGGGGACGGGGTGGGGTAGGGGAGTGTAGATTACGCGTTCTCTCGTCCCTCCCTCCCCCCACCCCCTCTGTCCACTCTAACTCCCAATCAAACATGGCCTGTCGGATAAACGATCGCGTTTTTATAACGTTAGCTCGCCCTAATAGGACGCCTGCATTGCGGGTTAACAGAAGATCGGTGTCTTGGTTGTTGGTTGACGCCTGAGACTAAATTAAAGACTTCATGCATAAGTGCGATTATGAACATAAGAAAGTCATATCAACAAACAGTGGGCTACATTGGAGTAATAACAAAAGATTACGCAAAGCTCTCATCGCGAAAATGCGTAAAAAAATGTAATAATTATTCCACAAAGCTCCCAAGTGACAAGAACCTCAAAGAGATGAGACAGACACTAAATAATATCTTGCCCAAAGAAAATAAACGCGCATCGGGTGGTGACTCATCAAATCTGTCAGCGACAAAGTTCAACGAGTTTTTTTTGCATCAATCGCATGGAATTTATGCAATGTCTTAAAAGACCGAGCCTTTTCTCAATTTTAGTTCCCAGAGTTAACAAGGAATTTTACTGTTGACGTCAGTTTTGAAAGCTATGAGCTGTCAAAATTAGAACTATCGAAAGCTACTGGGCTCGACAAAATCCCTGCAAAACTGCTCCAAGACGCAGCGGCTCCGTTATAGCCAAGGCAGTATATAGCTTATCTTATAAACCTCACGATCTCGACAGGTGAAATTCCGTCACAGTGGAAGGAAGATAAAGTAACTCCAATTTATAATACTGGGAGAAAAGATGATAAGAACAACTATCATTCAAATTCAGTTCTCCCCTTGATTTCTAAAGTGATGGAATTTGCAATTCAAGCTCAACTTTTGGCCTTTCTTGACGAAAACAAAGTTCTATCAGTTTTTTAATCCCTTTTCCGTAAGAAGCATTCCACTGAAACTGCAGTTGTCTACCTGGTTGATCATATATTAGATTACATAGACAGTTAACAGGTAACCGGTGCTGCCCTTGTCGATCTGAAAAAGACCTTTGATCTTGTTGATCACCACTGCCTCCTTCACAAGCTAGAGCACCATGGAGTTAGAGGATACAGTCTTACCTGGTTCAGGAATTATCTCACTACTCGTTCGCAGACAGTTCAATATGGAGAGGTGTTATCATCCAGTCTTCCTCTACTGCTTCGGTGTTCCCAAAGGTTCCTTACTGAGATCATTTGTGACATACATAAATGACCTGCCTCAATGTTTGCTGCACTCGGCGATAAGTATGTATGCCGATGGCTCAGTGATCCATTATACTGGGTCCAATATTAACATCATTAGAGAAAATCTACAAGAAGACCTCAAACGAGTCAAGCAGTGGTTGATGAGTAGCAGATTAATACTAAATCAGAGCAAAACGAAAGGAAACTACTGCAAACCTCATCAGACTTTGTGCTGCAGATCTAAGGTTCAATTATCTTGGGGTTATGCTCGATGAACAGCTTCTGGAGAGAGCATACCGACTCCCTTTGTAACAAAGTCAATAAGTGTTTGGGACTTTTAGCACGGATAAAATCTTGCCGTACTCTTAAAGCAGCGAAGTGTGTCTGCAATACCCTTATTGAGCCAATCCTGTGTTATACCGACACTGTATGGGGTGAACTGTCAGCCACCTCCAGCAAAACCCTTCAACGTTTTAAGGCGTGACTCCTCTTAAGACACTTTTAGTGTATTAGGGTGGGCTGAGTAGGAAATGAAACAGAAAAGACACAAATGTGCTTTAGTTTATAAATGCTTAAATAAGCAAGTATGTAACTATTTTATTAGAAACTATAATGCACGTAGCTATGACACTCTCAGAAGAACCGATTTGCACCTGCCCAAACCGAAGTTAAGTCTTAGCAAACGAACTTTTAAGTGTTCGGACTCAGCCCTTTTTAATTTGTTGCCTTGTTACATTCAAAACGCGGAACCACTTTCTTTCTTCACATTTTTAATGAATACTAACGATTTTTAACATTTTGTTTTTTTAAATTATCACATTTTGTATTTTTAAACTAATATTTATTATATTTTTGAATAAATATTTACTGTGTTTTTAAAAAATTATACTCTTTATTCCAAGTTCCCCCTGGATACCAGCCTTACGGCTAATTGGGCCACCCAGCTAAAATAAAGTACCCTAAATAAAAAGAATATGTGCCATTTCCTATGAACGCCGGAAGATATCAAGGCTGCTGGCCCTTAAAAGGCGTGAAAACGGCAGCTCTCTGTCAATTTGTACTAAACTGTGTGATTTAATTATCCAGTTTGCTGGGATATTAGATCACGAAAAGCATTAAACCACAAGAAACCACCGTACCCGCAAACATTGCTCCAGGCCTTGACACTACTACCCTTTGCATGACAAAGCAATCTGATAGTATTAATTCTTTGTTCTCAGTCTATTTTTAAAACGAAGGCTCAGAGCTGTTCAGTTCAGATCAATGTCTATTAATTGATCGCTTCCAAGTTTGACAGAAATTGAGAGCGCTATGACGTAATTTTGCGGTGTGCCCAATCACTTGTGTTTCCTCATGAATGACGAACGGTGTATTCAAATCTGCGAAATAGGTGCGTTGTTATGTTGATTGTGGTTGAAACTGTCTTTACAATCAGACACAGACAAAGCAGCTGTGAGTTTTACCTTCTTGAACAGAAGCTATTGAAAGGCATGGTTACTTCCCTGCTGGGGCTACAGCGGCTGAATGAAAAAATTCAGCTCAATTTATAACTGAAGACCCTGATTGCGCAGCGTGGTGTCTTCGAGTCTTTCTAGAAAGTGAAAGCGTCCAACTGTGACCTGTTAACGGGAGAAACCTATTTTATCCCGGCCCTAGAAACAAAATAAACAGCTTGTCACGATGATTTCATCAAACGCAAACAACATATCCGTGGTTTTGGACCATGCTGGTTCGGACAGAAATGATACTTCTACGCCAACAAAATGTGCCGCTTTCACTGTTGGACCCATGGAAATTTATATCACAATACATGTTCTCACTCTTTTAGTGTCCTTGGTGGGAAACATTCTTATCATTGCTGCTTATGTGAGAATGAAGGAAAATATTTTGCTCCCTATCGCCAACATGGCTGCATCTGATCTGCTGACTGCACTCTTTCTAATGCCTCGCCTTTTAACAAGAGAGTTCACTCGATCCAACGTTTTCCTCGTTCGAGGAGGTACAGGTACATTTCTGTGCAAGATGTGTACTTTTCTAAGCGACGTATCGTTGTCTGTGTCGACCCAGAGCGTATTGCTTATAGCCACTGAACGATTCCTTGCTATTGTTTATCCACTTCTGTATAAGAAGGTGTTCACGGTGAAAAGACGCTATCTCTTCGTCGCTTTAACATGGATAGCTTCCATGGCGATTCATTCGCCATACTTTTACATTTTCCGTCTGTCTGCCGATAACACGTGTCAACCCAACTGGGAACCAGCTTTTGATCATGAGTCGACGCAGCCACGCTACCTGATCTTTCTATTCATAACAGTTTTGTTTTTACCGCTGCTTTCTATTTCTGTGCTTTATGGTATTATCCATGTTAAACTTCAGAGAGATAAATTGGCTTCGTCTCGAACTGAGAGAGGGGCTGTAAGACATCAAGAACGCAGCAGGAAGTTACAAAGGATGGGAATAGCTACTATCATTGCGTTCTTACTTTGCTGGACGCTTTATATTGGAATAAGTGTTTTCAAACTATTTTCCCCAAATAATCAACAGAATTGTAATATAGGTTTCAGGATGGTTGATCATATTTCTCGAGTTTTGGTAAGCTGCTATCCTGCGGTAAATGCGAGCATTTGCTTCATTTTCGTACAGGGCTTTACTCAGCAGCTTATAGGTATGTGTAGACGAAAACGCCAACGATCAGTCACTACTGAAATAGTACAAGATTGGTCTGCGGAGAACAACTGCAGTCGCATAAGATCTGAATCAGCGCAAACATTGAGCTCGTTACTGATCACGAGAAACGGGAACAATTGCTCACTCGTTGATTCCCATCTAGTCTAAGACCCATCCTTTCTTTGTCTTAGACTAGTCTAGAATTGACTGATAGAAATGCCCAGTTGAAAACAAGCTAATTTGCATACTTAGATGTGCGACTTTCTGATGAAATTTACATTCTAATTTCATCATGTTATTGTTTTAAGCGATCGAGTGCATGTCTGGTAAACCGATGTGTTTATGAAGCACTTTTCCCTCGAGATAGTTACTCGCAAATGGTTAAGTATGCAATTTTTTATCAACTTAATGGGATTTTGGAAATAAAATATTCACGAAATGAAATTTTTCGAAACTTGTTTCGTCGATCTTGCGGTCGCTTCTCGTGACTTGGGCGAACGTGTCGAGTATCATTTGGCACGCAAACCTTAGATTAGGGCACTTCAGTTGCTCATAGCAACGCTACCTACCCGTCCGTGAATTTCATTCAATCATTAGCATGAACAGTGTCTTAAGAAGAACGTTAATGAAAATAAATCGGCCTATGTAGATCAGTACTGGACGAGGAATCAATGATGCAAATACCAGCTGCTTTTTTTTCCCACCTGCCATATGTCAATCTACCGTTTTCCATAAAGTATTTCTGCATTTTTCTCCACTCATCTCTTATTCTCTTTCTTAGAAAAAAAATAACTCCCAATCCCAAAATCAAAATATTCTACTAAAAAGAAGCTGCAGCCTACTGGTGCTCTTAGGGAGAATGTGACACGTGGTACAGATCCAAGGGATCTGTAAACTATCTATTCTTTACCTCTACTTGTGAATCATTTACCCAATCCAATTAAATAATCGTGGTGATGAACCCTTCCTAGATTTTTTTTTGAAGGTCCGTTTTTTGTTACCATCCCTCGGGGAAGGAGAAGTGGATAAAGTAGACTCGATCTGGCCTGCCTAACCTGGTCGGTTTCTCTGATGCACGTACTGCAAACATGTATACCTGATTTAGGTGTTCTGTGTTAATCATATGATTTGATAACATGAGGCTTCTGTTAAATGTTGGCAGGTCAAGTTTGCGAGCGTATCCAGTGTCTTGCCTAAGAACACAACACAGTAAATAGACAAGGGCCCAGACCTCGGCCATTCGATCCGAGATTTAACTGATGAATGCTTATAGACTTCTTTCAAAAATGCCGAGCCTAATTTCTATACTTTCACTTCACCGCAAATGATTTTCAAGCATCTTTGCGTCTTCTCTCTACATCCTGCCTGGTTTCATCATGTTGTAAAATCCAGGAAACGATTTTAGTGCTTTATTGATAAAAAAGAAAATTTACATCTAAAATGACATGACTCTTAGCAAGCCGAGAGGTGTCCCATGCAAATTACTGTGATATATTTTCACTTCAAATAATATGCGTGGGCAGCTTTTTCCTATATCGTCGCATTTTACCCCCATTTGTATCGCGTTGATGGTTCCGTTTGCACATTGCACTCAATTCGCGAGAAAAGACTTTTAGGAACATAAAACAAATACAAGGATTAACAGCGCAGTAAGAGGTTACTAACACCCGAGATATAAAATAAATTATTTGAAACGTTTCGCTGCATTCAGGAACTGACGTAGGTGAAAAAAGCTGCAGAAAAGTAATAACAACAAAGAGCGTCCAACATGTCAAAAACGCTGTTAAAGTAGCTGTGACCATCTTTTTTAAATTCTTGTTACGTTCATATTTTCTGCGAGCTCTATTTTCACTCAGACCTGTCACCATTTTCTCAACCCTCCGAAGCTTGATCATCGTCGTAAGGCACAAGATTGCCACCACAAGGAGGGGCATAAATACAACTGTAACGTATAAAAAGGTGATATAGTGTAATTGAGCTGATCCATTGCTAAAGGCGGGTTCCCAGCTTGGCACACAAAACAAGGTTCCTGTGCCATTTTGTTTTTTATGTGTAATCAGTCGAAAAATGTAGAAATAGGGCGAGTGCAATGCCATGGCCAGGATCCACGTGACGGCAATGAGCACATAGCGAGTTCTCACGGTGACTTTCTTGTACAAGAAAGGATACACTACAGCCAAGAAGCGCTCCGCGGCGATCAATATCAAGTTCTGTGTTGATACCGACAGAGACACGTCACTCAAGAAAGTGGACATCTTACAGAGAAGTAGTCCTCCTAATCCGTGAACAAGGAAGGCGTTGGATCTGGTGATTTCTCTTGTTATCAAGCGAGGGATCAGAAAAACTCCGACAAATAGATCAGAGGCCGCCATGTTGGCAATAAAGACAGCGATCTTTTGTTTCATTCTTGCGAACGCAAGTATAAGAAGTGTGTTTCCTGCTAGAGCAATTAACAACGTAGAAACATGTATTAAAACCATTGTTACTTGTATCGGACTCATGTTTACTCCTAGTTTTTCGCAATTTTCTTGTGGAGAAGTTGTGGTGTTGTGGAAACCTCCAACGTCCAAATTATCGGAGGAAACATTTACTCTGAGAGCCATTGTGCCGCTGTTTGTTTAAGAACACTGCCTCCTCTTTCGATCTTTTGTTCAATTAGTCTTAGCGCCGTCTTGGGCCCGGTTATTATAGACTCGAACAATGAATTGATTTAAATTGAAAAATTATTCAGCCCAGCATATCTCCCAAGCAAATTAATTCGAGAAATCATCGAGATTTCTATAGAAATTCTGTATTTATAGTTATACAAAAAGCCTATGCTATCGATATGGTCCAAGTACTTTTAAATTCTAAAGTAAAAACTTCATATGTCTCGGAAATACAGCATTGGAAAGTTACAATACAATTTGATAGTCAAAATATCGATTACGAATTGATAATATCTGAATTGTTGATACAATTTTCAAATTCACAGGTTTGTTTGACCGAAATAATGATCTACCTGGAAAGGATTCATCAACAATACCATTACACTTGAGAAAGACCGCTATTGATTTTCATGTTTGTTTTGTCATTTCATGTTTGTTTTGAAGGGAATCTCCAGAGGACATACTTGCCAGAATTTAGAACAAAGTCTAATTTCAAGCGATCTCTCTTGGATGAAATTGATCTTCGTAAAAACTATTTATAATTTAAATGCAAAGCCTCATATCCTCGCCTTATGCGTGACTCATCAAATAAATCGGCGAGCCTTACTTGCGCCCGAGCTCTGAGAGGAGTTAAACTCCTCACGTAGCAATTATAATACTTTGCTGATGCTCTCTGTATCCATAGTTGCGGTTGATGTGAAATGATTACATAATTGTGAAAGAAACCTGTCACCCAGTGCACCAGCATGTTGCACATGGAGGAGGAAAGGTGAGGGGGAGGGGGGGGGGGTGGAGGGTTTTAAAATGGTTTTACCATAATCAGTTTTAGTAGTCGACTGAAATATCGTATAGACAGAAGACCACAGATAGCATATAAATTAGTTATAAGATATGAGAGTGCTTTCGTTTGGAAGATTATTATGAATTTTTGCATGAGTTATCTTGGAATAACAGTGGAAATAATGGAAAATAAAAAGAAATGAAAATTTCCTCTAAAAGGAGGCTTGTCTAATAATTCACGGTCGTAATTAATATCACAATTTTATATACCACCGTGCGCGACTGGCTTCAAATTACGCCAAAAAAAATTAACTGCATCGTTTTCATGTCGACATTAACTCACTTTCAGGGTTGTTTGAGGCACAAAATGTTTCAATACATATCTGCGTGTCGAACTGGGTTTCAGGTGAACCATTCTCACGCGGAGGTAAGTTAAGTCAAATTGCTGATTGTATTCCTGCTTTTAATAACGTTTTTAACCCTCGAGTCATTTTGTTGCGACCAACTTTTCCATGTGGCTCTTATCTGACTTAATTATCTTACCCAGCGTGGGCACGCTTATGGATTACCTCTTTGTGTTTTATAGAAAGCTTTTTGTTTAAAACACACCTCCAAATTATTTGGCATGCTGACATTTACTGTCGATTGTATGGCGAATCTGATTGTTAGAAGCTTAACAGATGCAGATCAAAGACTATTATGTCGCAAAAGTGTTGTTTATTCTTCATCGAAGTTATAATTTTACAGGAACCTTTAATAGCTTACCTCACGATTCAGACTACTTGGGAACTTAAGCAAACCGCCACCGCGAAAGTAACGAGGACATGGCAAAACAAAAGAACAAATGGAAGAACAATAGCTTAGCTCTTGCTTTCCAGAACTCATATGCAAAACAAAACGTGAAAGTTTCGTGGTCTGAGAACGGAAATCCTGACGGAAAATGATTTAAGATCCCGTTTGGAGCTTAATGCTGCTCATATGCCCTATGCTTAAGTTAAGGTGTAGCGCTGTAATTGACCGTAAACAAATCCAGTTTATTGCAAAATTCTACCTTAAAATTTAAATTTATTTTTTAGCGCCTTCAGTCTTCCTCGGCGTTGACGTAAAGACTGCAACTGGTAGTTATCAATATTCCATCTCGCCGCTTCGATAAAACTAGTCGTGGTCTTCATCAAGCGATAAGGCCGAATGATCATGACACCACGTCATAAATGCATGTCGTAACAAGTAGGCCACCCTATCGAGGGGGAACAAGCGGAGAGGAAACCCGTGGGAATAGAGCGTGAGAGGGAAACAGAAGGATGAAAATGCAATGGGAAGCTGTCTGAATGAGCTCAATTTGTTATTCAATGCTGTTTATGGAACGTTTTGTTTTGCTTTGTTTTGTTTTTTTCTTTTAACAAGAAAAAGTAAGTGATCCACTTAGGTAAGTCGCGGCACATGAAAGGAAAGGAGGGGGTTAATTTCTAAAGAAAATGTGGTGCTGCGTCCGTGGGAGAGTATAACAAGGTAATTTGGTATTCGCAACTTAGTTGACAACTTAAATTGGCCACTGCTAAGAGTCTCAAAGCTGACGTTTCGAGCGCTAGCCCCTAATCAGAGCGAATGTGATCCTTCCGAAGTTTCGCTTCATGTAAAAAAAAAGCCTTTAACTGAAAATTCAGGCTTTGATGGATTCCAACCCGTCCCTCACTTCCAGATTTTATTAGGGCGCTGTTACCAGTTGAGCTACAAAACGTATTGGGAGCGAAGCAAATTTCGTGAAATTTAATAGGAATATGCATGACCATATTTTGCCCTGCGGTTGATGATGAACGAGTGATAAACAATTGAAGATCTGATCCTCTCAGATAAGCTGCAAGAAAGCGAGCTTACCTGCGCGGATCACTTACTTATAAACCACAGTTCAAAATATGATTAATTTCATTCACTTATGGGACATTTTTGGTTGTCTGCGTAGTTTGCTGTTTCAGACAGAGTTAACTCCCACCTTTTATCCTCTCCACACGGGTCAAATTAAGTCATCAGAGCTGATTTAATAAACTTCAAAGAGTGGTTCATGTGCCAAGGCTATTTCATCACCTGTTATCAAATAGAAAATTCTAAATATTTTATGGTTCATTTCACGTTAATGTGAAGTATCAGGCGTCTGAGTTTATTTATAGCTTCATCCTTTCACTCTCAAGTTTACAAACCAATAATACCCATTCAGTTGCACCGTCAGCTCTGAGTATTGATGTAAAGTCAAACGGTATCGCCGCCTAGTTGATATTTCTTTTTCTTTCCATTATCATTCTGCTTAAGAGTATCGTGATATGTCGAGGATAAGTTCCCTTTTGGTCCCTGCTGGGGAGAAAATGAAAAAGAAAAAGGCGACTTACAAGATTGATCTGTGACCACATGTAAGCGCCGTTTGTTGCCCAGACGAACTGGATCCTCGCTTCTTGTCTATAGCTAATTTGTGATCGCAACATTTAATCTGTTTCACTCCAATAAATGATAGATTACAATTAAGGATAACAGCGATAACTATGATTTCAATTCACGACAGGTAAAGTCCATCTCCCTTTAGAAAAGATCACACAGGGAGGGTACAGGTCAGTAAACGTCCCACCGATTTTCGCATAGATTGATCAGTAAGCTTCCTTTCGTAGAAAAAAATATTCTTATATATCCTCGTTAAACCTTCATCTCTTTTAAACTTCATGTAAGGTAACAACAAACCAACTAACATTCTATCTCGGTCTTAAGCAAACTTCTTGGAGAAATGAAAGGGCAATTATTGATAAGTTTGGCTCAACTTATAGTCAGGGAACGAGAGCAATATATCTAAGTGAGGGGGGGGGGGGGGAGGTGGAAGGACGGGGCACAAAAGTACCTCGATGGAAGAGTGAGGTGGATAAATGAGAATTTTTGTTCTCATTTCGTATTTCCTTGTGCATACCGAAAAATTTTTTGTTTTCTACGAATTAATTACTCCAAGGAAAAACGATGACTTTGATTTGGAGTTTTTTCCTCGTTATTTTCGGTACTTATCGTCTCCGCCAAAAGAAAGAACTTTCTATCCCGCTGTTTTTATAGTTTGCTTTAAAAACTCCAATGGTGTTTATGGGTGTTCATTTATCAGCTTCAATCGGGCAGCAAAGCTAAGAATATGGAGTTTTGTAGTAATGGTTCACGTGATACGTAATTAAGAGCACATGAATGATAACTACATTCTATCCTTTAGGCTGATGCTGCTGGCGTTACAGTAATTCTAGCCACGAATGTGAAAGTTCGATCCAATATTCGACTCCCGTCAGTTGTAGTTATTTTTGGTAAATTATATTGCTCTCAGAGTTGATCGGATCCACAATATGACGATTATCGTCGGTAGGTCTTCGTTTATCAAAAAAAATTATTCGTAATGTTTCTCTCGTCGTGGCTGCAAAACAGACCTTTTCTGGCCCAGTTTTCGTCGTCTGTGGTAAGCTTTATGTCCATGGTTTGTTCAGGTTGTCCTTTTTGTGTGGCGGTTAAGGTGTTGTGAAAGTAACGTAATGAAAGCAATATCGTTTGTCGCGAAGTCGTAAGAATGCACCTTTGTTTGAAGTTCTAAATGATAATTTCTGCAGCAAACATAACAAAACGGTGTCCAGCGATTTAATTGCTTCTCTGAGCATCTCACATAGGGTGCAACCGTTTGAAGTGTTTACCGTTGTGGTTGGGTGGGCTTTCAACACGCTTTCGTGTTCATATGTCCTTTTTGTTTGCGAACAGTAGTGAGTATTAGAACAGAAGGACGTCTGATGGCGACCTTAAGTGACACACTTCAGCCAGTTTATCTGTCAAAATGAAATACTTTGAGCCTGTTTAATCAACAGTGGCTACAAATACATTCTAAGGAGGCCAACATTATCATAAAATTACAAATCCTGTGACTACAATGACCAACCATATTGTGTGAGGTCACGTCTATCAACGACTGACTCTAGGAAGCAATGATTCGACCTATCGATCGAAACTGGCAAAAGCTGCCTAAGTCTTTTAGCCAAAACATCTCAGCCAAGAGGAATTAAATGTTCCACTTTATTTATCAAGGGGGAATAAAAGGCAAACTTTTGTTTGTCATCAATCATCTTCAATTTCCTTTTACTTCTCTTCTAGCAGCTGGCAAGACTTAAGCTACTTTGAGTGCCATGTGTTGATTTAATGTGATGAATTTCCTATTAGAATAATTTCAGTAGATCCAACCCTTAGCGCACGGATCACATCTCTCGATAGTGAGTGAGATAAAGTTTTACCTGTTGAGAGCGTTTTATATATATATATATATTTCTTTGCTTTTTCAGCCTTAGAATAAAGTTTCTTTTCATTCATACAGAACACACCAATTCAGACCAGATACGCTTTTCTAAGAGAGTTCGCCATTGTCCTCCGCCGGGTTCGTTGTTAGGGCGATAAGATAGGTTCGTATGCTGTAGACATAATAAAGCTTCAATAGAATTACGTCTTGCAGCAGTTCTTTTTCAAAAAGAAGAAATAAGTAAAAAAAAAAAAAATGAAACAACTTTCAACAATTATTCACCGGAGTGCAGGTAAATATTCACCACTCTCATCGACACTGAGGTAAATTATTGTTTTGGTATATATCAGACAATAGCCAAAATATTTGTAAATTTCTGTTAGTCTAGCGGAAAAATGTCGGAAATGTAACTCTTAATGCGCAGTCTTGTCTCTTCGGCTTGCTAATCACCTCCGAACTAGCCAGTTAGCGCGCGCAAAAGGAACTATTCACCACTGTAGTAAAATAACACAAGTTTATCAATTACTCTGACTTTCTCTAATAGTGTACCATGAATTTATGTAACAGCAGCCTCGGAAAAACCAGGAGGCCGTGTATCAAATTTCTCTGTCAGTATATCATCTGCCTTATGTTAAGCAGATATCATAACAAAACAAATGGGCCATTGGTATACCAAATATTAGTATTCCGACATAAGATACGCAGATAAACTTAGATAAATGAGAGAGAGATTGTTTTTGTTCTCACGTGCCCTAACCGAATACATATGTTTCGTATCCCTACACGGACAAGATATTTTCGAAATGGAAATGTGGAAAAAATTTGAAAACAATAGGAACAAACTGCCAAAAAGTATCCGCTTTAATTGGTGGCACAATTTTACCACTCACTGTTTCCTTTGTGAAGTTGTTTGCATTAATTCAAATGAATAAAGGGGGTAAGTTTCTAAAAAAAAAAAAAAAAAAAAAACACTGTGGCGCTGCGTCGATGGGAGAGTCACGGTATTACAGGGTAATTTAGTTTTATCAACTTAGTTGATGACGTAAATTAGCCACCGTAGAGAATTTCAAAGCTGACGTTTCGAGCGTTAGCCCTTCGTCTATCGCTCTGACGAAGGGCTAACGCTCGAAACGTCGGCTTTTAAACACTTTTCGGTGGCCAATTTACTTCATCAACTAAGTTGATAATGCTAAATTACCCTGTTTACATTAAGACCTCATTATATTAAGAGTTTGTCACTAATTTTCGACTACATATGCTTGTCACGTGCAGTTGAATGTAGTTACTTGGCAGACGGAGGAGGAAAAGGTTATCAATATTTATGCAGCTTTCAATACGATAGCACAAGGACAAGCATCGTCTGACAGAGAGACCAACAGCGTCATTACTGGTTATTTCGGTAAGGTGAATACTGAAGCATGCACTCTTTGATCTATGGATGAATTAGGCATTTCGGCCAGAAAAAAAATTCCTTAAGCTCCATGTTTTCTCTGCTTTTTTTCAGGCTTTGTGATCAAGTTATGAATTCAAGTACACAATTCGCTTTAGAGGCTTCGAAGGCTGTGAATGCCAGCGACAACAGTACCCTTACTCTGGAAAGTTGTGGTATTGTATTTCCAAATGAGATAATAATCACTATACACTTTTTGACGCTCTTTACGTCCTTGATAGGAAACACTCTCCTCATCGTTGCATTTCTGAGAATGAAAGAAACGATACTGCTCCTCATTGCCAACATGGCTGCATCTGACCTACTCTTAGCGCTGGTTCTTATGCCTGAATTGATTATATATGAACTAACTGGGTCCTTCGAATACCACGTTCGTGGTGGTGTAGGTACTTTTCTGTGTAAGATCTGCCCTGTTCTAAGCGACGCATCATTGTCAGTATCAACCCAAAGCTTAGTCTTGATCGCAGTCGAGCGGTTACTGGCACTAATGGCTCCTGTGCTCTATAGGAGGATAACCGATAGTAAACGGAGGATTATCGTCATCTGCACTTGGATTGTGGCCATACTTCTTCACTCGCCCTATTTCTACGCGATGCGAATAGCTTCGATCCTTCACGAAGGTACCTTTATCCAAGTTTGTTATCTAGACTGGGCACCAATTTTTGAACACAGAACAGCACAACTTCGTTATGGTATTTTTTTATACATAACCGTTTTAATTGTACCTATTCTTATAATTTCTGTGCTTTACACTGTAATCGTTTTCAACCAACGAAATGACAAAATGGGCTCCAGTCGAGGTGAAAAGTGTGCAATACGAAAGAAACGAAGCGTCAAGAATTTAAAACGGATGGCTGTAGCTACAGTAACGGCACTATTTTTATGCTGGACGCTTTATATCATAGTGCATTCATTCAAACTTGTCTCTCCAGAGACAGTTCCCAAATGTAGTAAATTTTTCCAGGCGGTGGAAACTGTGTCTAGCTTGATAGCAAGCTGTTATTGTGCAGTTAATCCCTCCCTTTGTTTCATTTTCATCAAAAGTTTTTCGCGTCAGCTAAGTTTTTTGTGTCAACGAAAATCTAATCGACAGCGTGGCGCGAAGTGTACTCACGCGAATGTCAAAATGGGAGAATCTGGTTCTGTCAGTTGTCTGACGAGATTAAGTTTACGTGGCAGTTATACTAAATAATCCTTATCAATAGCTCTGTCAAAACAAACTGAAATGTGATATTAAAGAAGGAAAAAACAAGAAGGTGAAACATAAATTTATTATGCTTGAATTGCATATCGCCCTCAGGCAAAGCGACTTTTGTATCTTGGTTATTATTCGACTGAAACTTTCCCTTTTGTTAAGCCTCTTCGTTTTCTTGATACTTGGCACAATATTATGGAAAGGAAAAAAGGGTATATCTCCAAACTATTTGCATAGGAAATGTTGCCCACATAAAAATCATAATATATCAAGGAAATTCTAGTCAAAGAGACCCCCGGAACACCTGCGGTGTTAATGGAAATGTGTCTAGTTAACATTTAAGTGTGAAACGTATGTATGGAGTTTTAATTTCCCAGCGATTGTAGTTTAGATTATTTTGTTTCAAAACAAGTACGTTAATAGTACATAGTGTCCAAAATGTATCTCATTGACTTCCGTTAGAAGTCAGGTTTCGAATATCCTCGTCACTTGTCGACCACTGGCCCCTCGGCATATGGTAAGTAAGATAGCCTCTTTTACTCGAAATATGACTGAGAAGTTTAACATCAGGCAAGGTGAGATAGCCGGTGCAGTTCAGGCCTTTGATATTAGTTCATCCAGCTATTTGTCAGAGGTAAACCACTTAATGTGCTTCCATATACTGCGATAAAGTCCATTACTTGATATCTAAGATTAAACAGCATCAAGCATAAATGGCATAACTTACTTGGTATGGAAATGTTCACTTCATTGTTCCGGAAGCCAAGTTGTGAGGCTTTGTTATTAAAGAGCTGATTGAGATTTTAAGAAAGGAGTCGATTTTGGAGCAGACGATTTGGAAATCTCTGACGCTGCTTTCTCTATCTTTTGGCGGGATAGTTTAGCTCCTTCATGATCACATTGCGCTTACTCACGAGTCCTTTAAAAGGCTTTATATTGCTAAAGATCGCTGCAATGAGGAGAGGATGATATTCAGTACTTTTTTTTTGTTCAATTTGAACAGAAAGCTAATCCTATGTTTTGGGAGCGAAATTGATTTTTGCATTAAATTTTAGCCTGAAACTAAATGTATACTAAATCAAAAAGGAATAAATTAGACATATCAATCACATTTACTTTCGACTTTTGCCAGCTTTTGGTGTCAACCTTTGCAGTTTTCGCTTTTGAATTCTTCATGGAGTGGAATTACCAATAATTTCCCATGGAATAACACAAATGAGGCAGCGAAATCTAACCACGTAGAGAAATATTGATTATATTTTCCCTACCGTGTCTTATTTGTGTGCATTCATTGTAGGCGTCCTAATAAGCAGGCTATAGATGGCTTACTCTGAGACAGGAAAAAGAATCTGCGGTGAACGCCATGGACTGTGCATTTTTCTTACAGTGCTGTGTGAAACGTATAGTTTGAGGGTAGAAAAAACCTTCACACTCTGGGTCACTCTCTTTTTTACTTCTGCGTTAAGTACAAGAAGATAACTGGAAGGAGAAATTTGAATTATGTTATTTTCACTTTTATCTTCCGCCTTTCTCCATTTCTAAGTTGGAGAAAAATTCAAACGTTGTTTTCTTGAATTATCAGCCGTACTAACTGTTGATTCCTTTCATTAATCTTATCAACTTCCACCTGTTGTTACTATAAGATCTTGACTATAATCAGTCTTTCAATTGAATATATTTAACTACCACTCTTATGTCAAACTGCTATTTCCTGTCGCCTTTTTTAAAGGATCATAGGAACATTAATTAGCTTTATTGGGAGAGGGGGTAGGGGAAGTCGAGTAAAAATTTATCGTGACACAGCCAAAATACTCCAACCCCCCCCCCCCCCCTCCACAAGGCGATAAGTAATGCAGGTCCCTTGTTCTTTGCAGCCAATCGATCTTGAAGGAATATATTTAATGATTCAAAATGAAGACTTTTGATGACATTACCCATAATCCTTTAGCGTTGCAGTTTATGCTGGAAGAGAGCTGTGTTGTAAAGCATTAGCTGATTACATTCTTGATTGTATTGTTTTCGTGTGTTCTCGATTGATTTTGGCGGATTACACTTCAAGTTGTTAAAATTCTTGGCCAGTTTACATTCTCTGGCGTCTCGTGAGATTGTTTGTTGTAATAGATCTTAAGAACAATTATATTGTGTCTAAAAAAATGTTTTTTCAGGACTACCAGTATATCAACAGTTGTTGCTGAAACTTGACCAAAATTTAACTGTCAAACTACTATCGGTTATCAGTGTTCATTAAACAAAAACAGATTACGGAAATCGACACCCCTTATTCATACCGCTGTAAGCGTGCCTACCACATCGGATACCTTATGCTTTAGTGTGAAATAGGGTTTATTGATCATGACAAGAGAATACAATCTTTTGTTCGTGATTATTCTAGGCAGTAGATGAACGAGAAAACTCATACGAAAGGAGAGAAATTTATAATATTTCCTGTCGCAAAAATAAAACTGAAAGCTATCACAAAAGACATCACTGTGCTTCCTTTCCATTTTAGACCGAGGATCCTTTCTCCCTATTCTTTGGCTGAATTATTTTTAGTATTCCTTGGACTAACAGCTGTGCAATTTCGTTATCATCCGGATGCTTCCCGGGCTGCTGACTTTGCTCTGATGCAGCCTCTTTAGATCGGTTATCGTCAGGTGCTACATCATCTGTATGATCTGCCTTGTCATCTTCCTTTTCACCAGCTTTCGAATCGTTAAAGTTTCCTTTTTCCTTGACTGGTTTTCCCAACGAGATCGGAATATCTTTGTTTCCAGTACTCAATGTGGCCTCACCATCAGGAAAATTAGCTGGAAATTCTATTGCAAAATCTCGTTGTGCAAACCTTAGTGCAACGCATAGATCGTGGGTCTCTTTGTCTCTGCTTGTACCAGTTACTTGAAATTTCCCCTGGAGAGCGCCATGGATCTTTCCAAAAAGGTCCATGCCTTCTTTCACCGAGTACCACTGCTCTCTTTTTGTTTCGGCCTGTTGCGATGAAGTTGAAGTCCAGCGAAACTCGCCCTTTACCGGATCATTGTGATATTTCTCTTGTGTTCCACTGAAAGGATTACTGAGGCGGAAAGCGCTGTCCTCCGGCAGTACCTCTGTGAAAAAAAATCATAGAATGCTTACAATAATTGGAAGAACAGATGAGTAAATAATCCAAGTTTAGGTTCTTAACTAACCGTATTTTAAAAGTATCCTGTTTTAGAAATATTCAACTTAGCACTGAAAATCTAACGTTGCAATTACCTGAGAGCCTCCATAGGGCAATGGCTTTTGCTGAAAACGATTAAAATTTTGGCCATTTTACGGCTGACGGCTAATGAATTTCTGTTAAGTTAACAAAATGATTTTACTTATTTACGCCTGACGGCTCAATTATTTTGCTGCTTTACAACAAGACCCTCTTTTTTAAACAACCACGAAACAGTTAATACGCGGTAAAACCGTCATTTGCGTCTAAAATTCTCATTATCGTAATTTCATTACTGTTATTTTCCCCCTATGGAGATATGAAAATAGCTAATCTTTCGATTATGCCTTGACGGGGAAGGGAGAGCGTTGCAAGACAAAACCAAACATGATCCTGCTCAGCAGTATGTTAAAAAGAAAAATTTATACGACTGATAGGGGGAATCTAATCTTGCCAAGTTTCCCATTATTGCAAGGTCCTGTGTTTGGTGGAAATCATGATAACGAGGACGCGTGTGTGCACCGATTCATGAATAATTATATTAGTAAATACTCTAAAGGCGACTGGTTCCCCCATTTTTTAAAATAACAATCGAATATTTAAGGATATTACCGAGTATTCCCTTCAATGAAGCTTCCTTTTCAACGACACAAATTTGCTTCACGTGCAGTGTTTCGTTGTCCACATCAACCTTCATATAAACAAAGCAGGGCTTTCCTTCACCTAGGTTTACACCTTAAACAAAATATATGAATCATCATGAACTAAACAAAATGAGACCTCGCAGTGAACTTTTCACTACCTGCAGAACATAAGTGGCTATATAGTTACTCTTCTTGGCCAAAAGCTAACTCAATGTGATGGACAAGACATCTATTGCTTAACAATTGTTCATTTTAAGTAGAGGGAAGGAGTGAGTGAGTATTCTATTTCGTTTGCCTCCAGTTCTAGGAAATTGATTCTGTAGTCAGGCCTCGTTTATATTTCACAATCGTATAGTCAAATTTCATTTGCTTCGATAAATTTTGAAATATTCAACAAGGCGAACCACCCTCCCAAAAAATTAAATTAAAGACGAAACAAACCGAGCGAAAGTGGTACTAGTAGTTGACTTTAGCACATAGAGTAAAATAGACACTGTTACTTCCCCTAATAGGACACTGAATTTCGTTTCTTACCGCCAGATTCGTTTGTGCTCCATATCCCAACGCGTCGAAGAGCATGGGGTTTGAACAACTCTTCTTCATCTTCGTCCTTAAGACTACCAGTGATATACTGCACGACTGGCTGATTAGAATGAGTCCACAGACCAAACAGATGTCCGCTCTCAATCCGTTTTTCTGCAATGTGTTGCTTAATCTGCCTAAGTTCACCCTCGTGGATTGTCACCGTCAGACTCATCTTGGCTCGTACTGTCAACCGAAAAATATCAGTGAATAAGTCGCAATAACGAAGCAGCTTGGGGCGATCAGAGCAAAATGTTTTTCACTTTTTATTGCAATGAGCTTTTTCATGGGCCGTAAATAACATTTCTAAGAAATCGTTACGTCATGTGATACTCTGAGCCTACCGGTTTTTCCCGGAAATGTTTACATGTCAGTTAAGGATATTCAGATTTTGTTAAAGTGAGTACATGTAACGAGAGTTAATGGTTCCATGACAAAGACCAGCTAGAGAAGAAATGGAATGAAAAACCAAAGAAATCAGTCACCGTGTCATAAATTCACAAATCCTATTTTCTCCGCCTGAGCTTGTTGAATCAACCCTTCGTCAAAGCTGTATGAAAATCGCAAAAATTTCGGTCGACTCTTAGGAAGTTTTGAAATAATAATGCGTCTTATTTGACGGAAAGTGCGAGCTATTTCGGTTTCCAAATACAGCCACGACTATCGCTCGGTCCCGGAAGTGTGTAGGATTAATAATTGCTCTGGCGAATCACGTTTTTGCGGTTAAATTTTGCTGTTGTCCTGTCTTTCTAACCTGCGTAAACGAAATGACTTGGGTTCTAGGAAAAAGGCTTGGACGAGTCAACATTTAACATGGCAATCTTAATTACGAGCCACAAAAGTTGTACAAAGCGAAAGTCTTTAAATCTGCCTTCCCACTCCCCAAATCCCTGCCAAAAGATTATTCTAAAAGAAATTTCGAAGCTAAGGGGTATGACATAGTGCTTGCTTAATATGGAGCAGCGAATGAACTCGCTAAGTTAGCAAACCGGTTTGTCCAACATCTTAAAAACTTTAAATTAACTGCGTCTATAATAATTTACAATTTGTCATCAAACATTTCTTTAGAGTGGGATTAGAGAGCTCAATGACAACTAGTGTCAACCGTATAATAATCTTAGGATCTTTTATTTTTGTCTAACAGGAATATATACATTAAAGACGTATCAGTTCGTAGATTTAGGTTAATAGAATATTAAGTCGATCAATCTTTGGAATTTTTCCTTGTGTCCTACTACAGTTAAGGGGCGATATTAATAGCAGGGACCCTATAATTTTGAAAGCAGCATTTCTCTCAGAAGTTCGATTATATTGAGGGAATTGAAGGCATGACGTTTAAATGTTGTCATGAAAAAAGGAGTGAATTGATAAATGTAGTTTATGTACATGAAAAGTACATAGACAGACGAAATTATGTGACCTTACATGGTAGTGCAGCCCTGCACGGGGTGGACATGACGTAGCGAAATTGCTCGAGGCATTTTATTTCCTCAAATTGCTTTCTTTGCGCATGAGCGCATCATTCCTAATTCAAAAAACAATATATAATGTTAACAACTATACCTCCCTCACTTAAACTGGAGAATCATTGCTGTGCACATCCTATCAAGAGAACAGAACAGCTAAAACAACCAACTTGAAGTGATGCCCTGGTCACAGGCCCAGAGACAGAGGCTCGGCTTTGAGAAAACGTTGTTGGAGAGCTATTTTCGTGACAGAGTGACATGGATTAGTCCCGGAGACCAAACGATAGTGGAAGTTCGAGCTACATGCACCAACGACAGACAGTACACGCTGAGGATTTATCTGCCAACTGATTTCCCCAATTCCTGTCCCAACATGGTTGTCAAGGCATCGGCTAGATTGAGGGCGCGTAACGGAGATCTTCTAGAGTGCTATCCAGGAGACAACCACATCGGGAAAACCGTAGAAGGCTACACAGGCATCTGCCATTTCAGGCCAAATAGATGGAGGAACGATAATACTTTGTATCAGGTGACGATGAAGGGTCTGATATGGCTGGAAGCTTATGAGGCGCATCTTCGCACCGGCCAACCCTTGAGCCAATTTTTGACCGATATGCCAGATCGTTAAAATATAAATTATGGTTGGTCGGGTAGACAGAACGATTCGATAGTTGTACACCAAACTGTTCATAGACTTTATAGAGAAGATGCTTGCTTTCATTCGATCAAGATTACTGAATGATAACTTTTGGTTGTAGTTGTAAGCGGAAAATACTTAAATATGGATTACAGCGATGTCATTTTTTCTTTGTTCCAGTACGAAGACAATGAGTTATACATGGTCCTCTCTCCCGGGTAACGATAGTTCATGAAATAAACGATCGGCAGAGCAATATTTCAGATCTACAATTTAACAATTGTAAGATGCTGGTCTTAAATTCAACATACACTAAAATAGGCTTGTCGTTCAAAATTGCGTTTCTAGTCACGATTTTTCTGTAAATTCACCCAAAAGCATTGAATTTCGCAATATTCTTGGAAACCAATGTAAACAGATGGATGCAGTGTAATATTTCAGAGAGAGATTTTCAAAAAGTCTAATGCTGAAAGGACCGCTCGTGATAACACATTTGTCTGGCGATATATCTAATCTGGAAATGCCAATAATCACGATGTAGGTCCCTTCTTCTATGCGACAGGAGCGATAAGAAAGCGCAACTGAATGCTAATATTCATTCATAGAAAAATTAATGCAAAGTCGGAAGTTTGCATTTCACTTCGAAATGATACTCTCAACTTCACTAGTTATTTGGATTTTTCAGTCTCTTGTTATGGAGTTATCATTTTCTCTGTTGTAAAAAAAACTCTCAGCTTTGAAGACTAAGTAAATAGTGGGTATTTACAAGCTTTTCTAGCATTCCATGAAACGAGTGTTGTTTGCGGATAGGCCTTTGGGGGGAAACGAACATCTTGTTCGATTCCAAGAAGAACTCACGTGTATAATTTGAGTCAAACTACCGGTCTTTCTAAGAAAAATATATAATTAGAAAACAATTTTTTAAGTATCTTTCCTCGGACGACTTTCATATTCCTCTCATTTTTTAATTGGGCAGGTTTATAAGAGTTCTGGGTCCACTCCAGTACGGTCCTTTCCGCCCCAGCTCATTGCAGAGTTCCATCGCGCTTCGATAGAGTTCTTAGGCATGAAAAATTTTGAATGATACAAGGAACTTGAACCATGACCGCGTAACAATGGTAGGTTAACAACATTTTCGCCGAACTTTCGAGAGCGTTCCGATTGTTATTGTCTTTTGTTTGAATCACCATACCATGCAACATGTATGCTAGATATTATTTTCTTTCCTTATCCTTTCTTCTTTTTATTTGATGGAAATGTTGCCCTTATCGACGGGCTCAACGAAGATAACATCAGAGCGTGTGTTCTAAGAATTGTTCACTGTCCACATTGAGACAGAATTCGTCATTAGAAGTGCCCGTAAGTTAAAGTTTAAATTTTTAAGACAGTCACTTTTAGTTTCCGTTGAAATCAGAAAGAAATTAAAATAAATTACCTGCTTCGAAGAGTAGCAGTTAGTCGTACACAAAAGTCTGTTGTATTGTAAACAAAGTTTTCCACGAAAAACGCTCACGCATCATTTACTTTTATCTTCCTGAATTTCCGAGAGCTACGCAATGCCATCTACGCATGCTCCCATTTCCGGGAAATGGAAGCGGTTCGAAAATAGTTGTCCGCAGCATTCACCGGCTTTGAATTTAGCGAGTGTTCCTCGTTTGAAACCTGTACAGACAAACTAAAAGTTTCTTTTACCTTTCTTCAATATGCCATGGTCAGCAACTCAGCAAAAAAGGCTTGGATTCGAGAAAAATATTCTCGAGAAGTACTTCGGTAACAGAGTTTCATGGATCAATCCAACTGGCGATACGAAGGTTGAAGTAAGAGTGACAACCACCAACGATAAACAGTATACACTCAGGGTATATCTTCCTGGAGATTTCCCGAATTCATGCCCGAAGATGATAATCAGTAACCCTTCGTCCTGTCTGAGAGCGAAAGACGGTTCTTCGCTGAGCAGTACGAGTGGGATTAACCATACATTATGCAGTATAGATGGTTGCACTCAGATCTGCCATTTTAACTCGTCCTTGTGGAAAGATAACAACACACTGTACCAAGTGGTTATGAAAGGGCTGATATGGCTGGAGGGGTACGAAGCACATCTTCGCACTGGGCAACCTCTGAATAAATACTTGCAAGAGATGTAAACAAATCGACTGAGGACAGGAAAAAAACTGAGGATCGGGACAAACATCTCTGTGACAATACCATTTCTACCTGAGCCTAAACCTTGATCCTTCGGTATGGGTAAATTTCATTGATTATTGTTTAGATCATGTTAAACCTGGATAAAGTTTATTTTTCAAAATGCTGGCTAAACCTTCACCTCCGCGCTTTGAAGTCCAGATTGTAATTATCATAATTATTATTACCATTTTTCTTTGTGTCGCTTTCCTGTATTATTCGATTTCTGTCAATTTTTTTGGAGTCTGACGAAGGATCTTACTCTCCAGAGTGTTAGCAATATCGTGGAGACTCCATCACATCCAATGACCTCCGAAATACATTTGCACAATCCAGAAGGTGTCTTGGAGGGTTGCTTGAAATATTCGAATGATTTGCGTTGGAAGTAGGATCTTACATAAGAACCTCTTATCCCTCGTATTGATTCGTTTTCATTTCAGTCGTATTTTTAAAACAATACCTCTATAGCTGTGGTAGCTCAAACATTCCAGTTTAGCGTAAGAAATTGGTCGGAAGGGATCAGCTGGCGTGACAGCGAAGTTCCTGATCCGTTAGCGCGGGAGTCTTGTAAGAGTCGGCGGATATATAGCTTATTGGAGTGGAAAACTGATCCATAAAGGGGTTTATCTCTCTAGCCCATCCAGTAATTTTTTCTATTGCTTCTATAAGGTTTTTAAGAAAGCCTTCGAGAGCCTTTCGGTTATTTTTTATATGCATTGGAGCAATTAGCTCTTCCGCTCTTTTGGGTATCATTGTTCGACGCACAGTGTGTCAAGACGAAAAATATACTGAAAAGGCGTGTTTTTGTGACAGGGCCGATGATTCCAGACATATTGAGCGAAATGATCGGAAAATTTGTGGGAATTGATGTGTTTATTGTTATTATAGACATTTAACTGTGAACTGTAGTTAAGGAGAAATTTTAATAATCAGAGAGTCAGAGTGATGCAGGGGGGGGGGGGGGCCGCAGGCGTCTTACCCAGAATATTTCGATATTCAATCCACTGAAATAACAAGATAGTGGCTGACAAAAATAAATATTTTTACTTTGTATCAAAAAGCTTAAAGAGCTATATACCCACCAAGTTGAATGGAGAAATTGAATTGGAGGTTGAGTGACCAAGACAAAATTTTCCCTTACAATATCAATACAATATCAAGTAGACAAGGGAGTATCAGTTGATCCAAATTAAATTCTCCGAACTAACACCATAAAATTTGTATGAAAGTCAGTAAGGAGAATTACTGATGAGATCTCGGGCGTAAAAGGGCTTAAATTGTTGATTAATCTTGATATTTACAATTATCATAAAGATATCTCTCCCACTGTGGTGCGACTGATATTAGATCTAATAATAAACATAGAAAAATTTATCTCCTCTAAATGGCTAATAACGATTGCATTCTCATGTAACACGAGTGCAAAGTTTTAACAAGAGATGTAATTTCTGACGTTTGAGTGACATGAGAACGAATTTGTCAGAAACCAATATATTGATGGCACGTTGAAGAGGTTCGCGCAGCATCATGCAAGTTTCGGATTATTTGAGCGTTTCGTTGGAAAATTAGGTCATTCTAGGTCGGTCAGTCTTATGTTTGATCACCCTCCTTTTTGCCCTGTTATAATTTTGGTATCCCAACTCCCTGTAACATATAACTACAATCATCGAGTTTTCATTTGTGATCAATTGTGCAACCAGGTTAGTTTACCCTTTCCTCGGGGCATTGTTCTACTGCATTAGATGAAAAACACGTTTCCACACATTTTTGGCCACATCCAAAAAGTGATTTTTTTAGTGGCTTTTTAGTGGTTTTTCGTATCTGACTTAGCACAGGTTTTTTTTGTGGGACCCCTGGTTTCAGGGTGTACATGTTAAGATTGTATCAGGATACTAGTAGACTGACTGACTCATCCTGAATCAACTTTCTCATTGAATGTCTCGTGTGAGTGTAGTCAGAATTGTAAAATTGTAACACGGGTGCAAATTACAAATTGCGCGCGCATGCCTTTCAAAATTTCACCTGTCTTGACTTTCTGAGATGTTTTTTCACGTACATTGTTAACAATTAACAAAGTGATTTCTCTTGCAATTTTTGAAATAAGCAATTGTGAATTTTTCAGAGACTACAAATTGTACTTGCCATACGGGCTCGTACAGTTCTGTTGTCCTTGAAAATTTACTTGTGCTTATTAGCACCAAATTCTTTCGAAATCGTGTTTTTACCTATATTTACATGATCCAGAGATCCAACGATTTACTCGAACTGACGTTAGCCAAACTATCTGCAGACGGAAGTTTTCAGGATTGGGTTCCGTAAATGCCAGAGTTTCTCCTAATGTTTGACGAACTCAAGATCTCGAAAGTGCACGCCTGGAAGTACGTCGACGAAGAAGGCTTGAACAAGTAAACATTTAACATGGCAATCTTAATTACGAGCGACAAAAGTTGTACAAACCGAAAGTCATTAAATTTGCCTTCCTACCTCCCAAAGATTATCCTCTTTGCCAAAAGATTATTCTAAAAGTAGTGTCGAAGCTAAGGGGTATGACAAAAAACTTTTTAACTATGGAGCAGCTAACGAACTCGCTAAATTAGCAAACCGGTTTATTCAACTCCTTAAAAACTCTAAATCAACTGCACCTATAATACTTTACAATTTTTCATCAAACATTTCTTTAAAATGGGATTAGAGGGCTCAATGACAACTTGTGTCAACTGTATAATAATCTTAGGATCTTTTCTTTTTTTCTAACGGGAATATCTACACTAAAGACGTATCAATTCGTCGATTTAAGTCGAACGAATATTAAGTCGATCAATTTTTGGAATTTTCCGTGTTTCCTACCAAAGTTAAGGGGCGATATTAATAGCATGGACCCTATAATTTTGAAAGCAGCATTTCTCTCAGAAGTTGGATTATATCGAGGGTGTTGACGACGATGTTTAAATGTCTTCATGAAAAAAGGAGTGAATTAATAAATGTAGTTTGTGTACATGAAAAGTACAAAGACATAATCATGTGACCTTATATGGTAGTGCAGCCTTGCTCGGGGTGGACATGACGTAACGAAATTGCTCGAGGCATTTTATTCCCTCAAATTGCTTTCTTTGCGCATGAGCATATCATTCCTGATTCAAAAACAACATAACTCCCAACTATATATCCCTCACTTAAACTGGAGAATCACTGCTGTGCAGCGTAACTGAATGCTGATATTCATTTATAGCAAAAATAATGCAAAGTGGGGAGTGTGCACACACGCATTTTCATTCCGCTTCGAAGAAATGATACATTTAACTCTATTGGTTCTTTGGATTTTTCAATCTCTTGTTATGGAGTTATCATCTTCTTAGGCGTAAAAATACTCTCGGCTTCGAAGACGAAATGAATAGCGGGTATTTACCAGCTTTTTCAAGATTCCATGAAACGAGTATTGTTTTCGGATGGCATTTGAGTGGAAACAAAGATCTTGTTCGATTCCAAGAAGAACTTGAGTCAAACTACCGGTCTTTCCAAGAAAAAAAATATAATTAGAAAACAAAAACAGATTGAACACGTGTTTTTTTAAGTGTATACGACATTTTTATCATATTTTTAAGGATCTTTCCTCTGATGACTTTCATATTTCTCTCATCCTTTTATTGGGTAAGTTTACAAGAGTTCTGGGTCTACTTCAATACGGTCCGTTCCGCTCCGGCTCATTGCAAAGTTCACTCGCGCTCCGATAGAGTTCTTGGGCATGAAAAATTTTGAATGATGCATGGAACTTGAACCATGACCGCGTAATAATGGATATGTAAACAGCATGTTCGCTAAACTTTCGAGAGCGTTCCGATTGTTATCGTCTTTTGTTTGAACTACCGTACTATGCAATGTGATTTTGAGATATGCTAGATTATTACGTTAGGGTAAAAAGTGTAACCTTTTCTTTTCCTTTCCTTATCCTCTCTTCTTTTGATTTAATGGAGATGTTGCCCTTGTAGAAGGGCTCAACGAAGATAAAGCCAGCGTGTGTGTGCTAAGAATTTCACTATCCACATGAAAGCAGAATTAAAAGTGCCCATAGTTTAAGATTTAAATTTTTAAAATAGTCAGTTTTAGTTTCCGTAGAAATCAGAAAGAAAATAAAAATTACTTGCTTCAAAGAGTAGCAGTCGGTCGTACACAAAAGTCTGTTTTGTTGTAAACAAAGTTTTCCGTGAAAAACGCCCACGCATCATTTACTTATTATCTTTCTGAATTTCCAAGAGCCACGCAATGCCATTTACGCATGCTCCAATTTCTCGGAAAACTGAAATGAGATGCGAAAGCGCTAGCTAAAGCAAAGCGGTTCGGAAATACTTGTTCGCGACATTCGCTGGCTTTGAATTTAGCGAGTGTTCCTCGTTTCAAACTTGTACAGACAAACTAAAAGTTGCCTTTGTCCTTCTTCAAAATGCCATGGTCAGCAACTCAGCAAAAAAGGCTTGGATTCGAGAAAAATATTCTCGAGAAGTACTTCGGTAACAGAGTTTCATGGATCAATCCGACTGGCGATACGAAGGTTGAAGTAAGAGTGTCAACCACCAATGATAAACAGTATACACTCAGGGTGTATCTTCCCGGAGATTTCCCGAATTCATGTCCACAGATGATAGTCAGTAACCCTTCGTCCTGTCTGAGAGCGAAAGACGGTTCTCCGCTAATTGGTGGGAGTCGAAACCATACATTGAGCAACATAGATGGTTGCACTCAGATCTGCCACTTTAAGAGCCATTTTCCGAGAAAATCGAAAATCGCAAGACACTCGTAAAAAAATTGAATTTTTTTTTCTTTTACCAAAACATCCCTTTTAGTGACCTAATTCAAGAAAAAATAGTTTTGGGTTCAAGCGATTCATTGTACGGGAGAAATAACAAGTAGTTTGAAAAATCGTTTTATTGCTGTCTTTTCGCGCTTAAAAACAACAGAATCCGACCGCAACTCGAGAAAACGGTGAACACATGAGAAACAATCCCTAACATCGAAACTTCAGCCGAGTATTATTTCGTTC